TGCTTGATTAATTTACGTGTTATAAGAAAAATGACCATATTTGAAAATTTTTCTTGACCAAGTGAAGATTTTTATATAATTTTTTCTCATTATTTTAAGTTTAACTGGCAACTTTAAAAATATTCTTAACTGTTCCAAATTTTGATCTGATTCAAACTAAACTATATTTGTGAATTATTTTTAAAAGATCTAAGCTAGTAACTGTTCTAGTGTCTGAATTATTGAAATAGTGTAATTTTTAAACTAGGTGTTTCTGATTGAATCTGCATTATTTATATCGTTTGGATATATAAGTGCTAAGTCAAAGGCTGTTGTTTTTAAATTACTTAAATACATTGATATTAATTTTCACCCATTAGCAAATAGAAAATAGGAACATACTTCACTGAATTTTTATGTCTTCATTTCAGTTGTGAGACTAAAATGTCCAACATTTCTTTAATTTCTACTATGATTTTTTTTTTTTTTAATATCTGTTTTCTTATCCATTGATCCCTTGGCAATCTGATTTATTAACGTTTTTCATTTTGGTATAAATTCTGTTGATATATTTATCTCTAAAGCTAAATTTTTATATTTCTCAAGAATACTTCTGAAAATATTTTCTCCTATTTGCTTTAATGAAAAACAGTCTTTCTAGTGAGAATGTGGATTTGTAAACAGTAACAGTTTTTGATTCTAAGACTTTTTCATGTGGCATTAAATTCTATGCAGATTACATACATAAAATATTTTAATTGATTTGCTTAAAAGCAGTATTATTATCATCCTACTGCAATAAATCATTTGATGCCAAATGTTTTAATAACCGGTCTTCTTTGTTTATTTGTAGATACAATTTTTTAACAGCGTTTATTCGTGATGCTTATCACATATTCATGTTAATTACTTAATAAATAAGAACACTGTTACAAGAGGAATAACACAATTTATCGATGGCAAATAGGCAATAACACTGGTATGTATATCTGTAGAAATTATGCATTATGTGTTTTCCGGTAATATAAAATCCCCCCTTTTTTTTTAATACAAGCTATAGTTTCTGATATAAAAAGTCTCAGTTAATTTCCTAATGCTCAAAATCCGAAACAACTCTTAATTTATACTAATAATCCTATGTACATTGTAATAACACTGTTGTAAACTGAATATGGTTTTCATGTTGAAACTATTTGTCATTTTTTAAATTATCCTGACATATTTTCATCTCTGATTTGAATTCCATTAAGTCCAATGAATTTTATAGCTTCTTCATTTTCTTCTCTTCACCTTTAACACAGATTATCAAACAACTACACTTTTTATTTTAAATGATAATACAGTCAAAAGTCTTTAATCCGGACTCATCTGGACTTAAAGATCATCAGTTTAAATCTGGTAAGATGGCATGCAGAAATTATAAAATTAAAAATATGAAACCGTAATTTATGAAATAAAGAGCAATTATGATCTAAAGGGTATCAAAAAATTTAAAAAAAACTTAATATTTATTTGTTTACTTTCATGCGTAAAGCATACATTACACATAGTTGAAATTAGAAAATTGCAACCAGAAAACTATTTGATGTGTATTTGTGATATTTTTAATGATGAGGAAATTGATTTAAATTATACTGGAGTACATCAAGATGAAACACTACATTTAGTGAGGAATTATAAGCCGAATAAAATAAAAACATCTGCCCTGAAGATGAGGATAGTACTGACAGATCAACTTCCAGTTCATTGCACGCACAACGTCCCCCCCTTCCCCCGCAGAGCAGCGTGAAATTTGATAAACAGATTTCGGAATGGTTAGAGAAACAAAGGATACACTTTTATCCATTTTTTGCAGCAATTCCACTTTTTGATGGACATCGAAACACGCTTTCGCTTTGTAGATCCTTTGGCAGCTCCAGAATCGGAAACTTTTTTTGACATAATCGAAAGTTCAAGCTTTGTAAAATTGCTCTAACAGTCTGCAAAATATAATAAGCTGGATCCAATTGGAAGATTAAGGAACAACGCAATCTGCAACATTAACTGAAATAGATAATTAGATCATTTTAGCTTAGCTTATACCATCCGTTATACCTTAAACGCGCATGCATATACGCATTATGCGTTTATGCATGCGCAGAAAGTTTGTAGCTTTAAGGTCCTGATTGTGGACGTACGGATTAAAGACTTTTAACTGTACAATTTGCAATGTTCAACCTTTAATTTTGGGGTCTTTATTAAAAGCTTTCAAGTGTCATTACAGAAAGATGTTCAGTAAATCTCTAATACCAATTAAACATGTTTTAAAATATGTGGCTTTTATGGAGAAGAAGCTTCAGAGGAATTACAAACTATAGCTAATGTTTCAGGCATCAGCGGAGTTATGAGGATTCATTTTTAGAATACACTGGTGTGCAAAAATTAAGGATGAGACGGTTTTTTTCAATATAACTTTGTACAAAAGCTTTCCAAATCAACACATTTAATACCGTAAGATCCCCAATACGTAAGGACATGAGTAATGTAAGCAACACTTACTAAAAGAGAAATCAGAGGGATAAAAAGAAGCTTTATTGAAAAAGTAGCATGGAGCGCAATGCGACTAAAGGCCGAAACATCCCTGTGATGGGTGTCCAGCAAGAAACATCCGGTCTTTAATAGGGGATATGATCTCCCCTGACTGCTAGGCAGGTTTCACAACGTCTGCCCACGCTGAGAATGAGGGTGTCAATGAGTTGTTGAGGCATTGCTGCCCATTCATCTTGCAGCGCCAATCAAAGCTCTGGAATCGTTACTGGTGGTAAGGTACGAGCTGCCAAGCGTCTGCCTATAAAATCCCATACATGCTCGGAGATCGTGCCGGCCAGTCCATACATTCAATATCCTCACTCTCTAAGAGCTGTTCGGCAGCTACTGTGCGATGACATGGTGCATTGTCGTCCATGAAAAGGAACTGCAGACCCATAGCGCTTCTAAAAAGACGCACATATGGAAGAAGAATCTCGTTACAATAATTGACTGAACCTGCGTCGAAGATGTGAAGGTCTGTACGACTACCAAGTATGATGCCTCCCCAAATGAGAACACCGCCACCTCCATACCTGTCCCTTTCAATGATGTTCGAGGGATGATTGCGGCTTCCCCGTTCTAACCAGATGAGTATGCGATGAGAATCGCTACTCAGACTGAATCTGCTCTCATCTGTAAAGAGTACTCGTCCCCATTCATTGTCTCTCCAATTCCGGTGTTCCCGGCACCACAGAGAACGCCTTCTCCGATGGGCAGGCGTTAGAGGTACACACCGTACAGGGCGTCGTGCAAACAGACCACCACCGTGCAGTCTTCTGGCCACGTTAAAATGCGATATCGGTCGTCCAGTCGCCTGTGTCGTGTGTCTAGCAATTTCTCCCGCTGTCTGCCGCCTGTTTCTTCTGGCCTGTAAGGCAATATACCGGTCATCTGCGGGTGTGGTTCCTCGTGGACGACCACTACTAAACCCCCGGATAGCTGTTCCTGTAATTTGAAATTGTCTCCAAAGTCGTGAAACGATGCTTTGAGCAATTCTGTACTCTGCAGCCACACTTGTCACACTGCGGCCTTCCTCCAACTTCCCAATGATTCGACCTCAGGTAAAAGCATCCAGGTGTCGTCTAACAGATTGATTATTCGCCATTTCTTGCTGAGGCAGCAACTTAATGTGATTTTAACTGCTATACTGCGTGCAATCTCTTTGCCAGAAATACTGATCTTACACCGACAACATGCTTTATACTACTCTGACACTCCCCCATTACGTCTACCTACATAGCTGCGCATGTGCTACCGTACATCACCTTACTTAATCTCCTGATTGGTCTTTCTGTCCGCTCTGCCTCTTCGTTCAGCTGATATGCTAATTTTTTGACTTCGTCCTTAATTTTTGCATGCCAGTGTATGTTGTACGAATTCACAAACATATAAAAACTGACTAAGGAAGTGTAAAAAGAACTGCAGAAACTTACAGTGAAAGTGATATAGAAAAAAAACTGACGACATGCCATAATCATTTAAATTTTGAAAAGTACCGCAAATTCTAAAAAAAATTCTTGAACTAAAAGATGCTGATCACAGTTTTATAAAATAAAGAATATAACTGAAGAGCTGTCTTTGAACAACATGAAATAAAACTGAATAATTGATATGTTGTTTGTGAGAAGGAAAATTTCATCAAGAATATAATTATAAAAAAAATTTTAAATGAATTTTAAAACTGCATATTTTAATTTTAGTATTAATTTTTAATTATTATTTTTGGATTAATTAATGAATTATTTGCGAGTTATTTTACTTAAAGAGTGTAAAACTGATATCACAGTTTGTAATGTACAAGTCTCAGTTTATTAAATTCAGTCGCTTAATAAAGTTAAATACTTTTTGGAACACAAATGATTTTAATAAGCAGCAGGTGCTCTATATATATATTAAGTTTCTTTGCAAATGAAAACTCTATTTCCAGTTTTAAAAAGTATCTACATAGATTTAATGATGCAATCTGTTTTGAGGTTGCAGTTCTAGACAAAGACAGGGCAACCTCTAAATTTGAAGGCCATATTTCATAAAGCAAGATATTGTTTAGCTGCACATAAAAAATTTATTTAAATAAATAATTATGTTTTGTGAATATGAGAAGAAAAAACATGAAGATTTTGTTATAAAAAGGAAATAGTACTGCATTTGAAAGAAATAAATGGAAGGTTACAACTGGTATCTAAAAAATTTGCAGGCTTTGTAGCTCTGGTCTAAATATTTCTACACAGTTTTCCTATTGCTTCTGACCTTAAACCATGAAGATTATTACAGAACATCTCCTGAACTCTTAAATAACATAAGCTATACCATGATTGGAAAATGATTAATGTGTGCAATCTAATAATATATAATAAATAAGAAAAACATGAAATTAAAATTTAACATAGTGATATAATTAAAAGTGTTATGATTGCATTCACTGACCCTTTATACAAGGAAGAGGACCAAAAAAATTACAAGTCTCAATGACTTTATTAAATATATTATCCTTGTAACATTCTGAAATTCACAGATCTTTCTAAAGATAGTAAAAAAAAAAATGTATAAAATAACTTTACTATAAAATTAATACAGAATACTTTTATTAGAATAATGAAAACTATTTCTTCAATTTAATTGTTTCAAATTAACTCGTCATACAATATCAATATTGATGTACTTTGTAAAATATTGTGTTCATCTTAGATCAAAATTTAGAGACAAATTTGGAAAACAATTTTTAACGATTCATAGAAATCCGAGATTTTACTCAATATACAAATCCTTTAATTAACAATCTATTTTTATTAGCACATATTTTTTTTTAATAATTTTTCAGCAGACTGAAAAGGGGGTAAAATAATGGCAATATAACCTTCACTCCATGGTTTTTTCTTCAGAATATTGGGCTCTCTTATAAGTCTTTCATTTACTTCTATAAGAGTTCCAGAAACACAGCTATAAAGGGTATATTCACAGTTATTACTACATTTTACAGAACATAAAACTGACTTTTCTTTTAGCTTTTGACCACCTTTCTTAAATTTTCCAGAGACTTTATTTGATAAGCGATTAATATTACCCACTGTATCAAAATTTATAGATAATAAATCCAGATTTTCAGTCAGTATTGGATGATTTGGAGACAGAGTAATAATAGAAAGGCGATTGGAATGAACAAGAATGCATTGATTAGTTTCTGGAATAATTTTTGATTTGAAATAGCGTTCTGTTACGCTAGGTCGAGATGGATCAATTCTGCAAGTTTGTAGAAAACCCAGATTTCGCTCCATTAAGCACTTTCAAATTTGCTAAAAAGAGAAAACAATTTGTCAATATTTTCTTTATATTTAACAAAATTAAAAGGCACATTACTACAATTAATATAATTTTTATACTTTATAAAGAAATACTTGAAATGTATGCAAGCTAATAATAATAATAATAATAATGCAAAACTGTATACTCATTTTCTTTATAAAGCAAATCTTTGAAGCATAGTAATGTTATACACTATGTATATATCAGGGGGTTCACAACCAGGGAAGGGGGGATTTCAATGCACTCAGCAAGTGATGAAGCAATATTTTGAATAATATAAAATACAGTATACGCTCATTTTTACGTTTTCCATTCTATTAAACAAACAAGAAATATAAAATATTTGTAAAACGTACCTTTATTAAGTCATCGAGCAACAAAATAATCACTTATCTTTGTCTGTTTAAAATAACAGATTGCATAATGCAAGACTCCATCTTCTCTATATTTGTTAGCATTTCACAATTATCACTGGCCTCAAAAAATCGTCTAAGTTCTGACAAGTATTCAGCAGCTTGTTTTAAAGTCGGTCTTGGTGTTACTTCATTTTCTTCTTCTGGATCTGAAAGTCTCTCATTCTCGTTGATTATGCTGCTAATAATATTGTGATCAAATATTTCCTCCGTGCAGATGACATTAGAATCCACATTTAAAAAATCCTCGAATGAAAGTTCTGGCAACTGTGGATTTCTATGGCGAAGTTCATGCATGAGAACCTCATCTTCGTGAGATCTATTGTCATGGATTTCTTCAGTTACATCTGTTTCTTTAATAAAACCTGCATGTCGAAAGGCTTTAGAAATTGTTTCATCTAAAACATCATTCCATGCACTGATTGATAAATGCATTGCACCAAGAATATCAATCTGATAAGGTTGTTCCCTTTCCAAACCAAAGATTACTCTTTGCAAGAGCACTGTCTTATATTTTCGCTTGAAACTATTGATTATCCCCTGATCCATTGGCTTTAAAACTGCAGTTGCATTTGGTGGGAGATATTCCACACGGATTGCCTGAAGCCCAGTGACTTCCATGTGTGCAGTACAATTATCCACGATTAGGAGAACTTGCGCTTCTCTGCTGAAAAAAACGGTTATCTAAATCTCTCAACCATTTTTCGTAGATGTTGCCATCATCCAGGCCTTATTATTAGCATAATATGCAGCAGGAATCTTCTGACCATTTTTGAAACACCTTGGTTTCAGATATTATCCAATAAAGAGCAGAGGCAATTTTTGTGACCCAGACATGTTGGCTGCAATCAAAACTGTAAGTCTCTCTTTAGCTTTATTACCTCCAACACATTTTTCTCCTTTGTAAGCTATGTTCTTTCTGGCAAAATCTTAAAAAACAAAGCCCTTTCATTTCATCCGCATTAAAAACAATCATCTGCAGCGTATTCAGAAAGAAGCAATTTCAACTTTTCTTCTTTCCATTCATTTCTGATGACGTGTCTACTGCTGGCACTTTCACCACATACTTTCCGGAAACTCAAACCATTCCGAAATTTAAATTTCTGTAACCACCATCCGATGCTTTAAAATCTTGATGTTTAATTTGGAAGCAAAAAAGTGTGCTTGTTCTTTAAGTACATTTCCATCAATAGGAATGTTTAAGCTTCTCATCTTTCGAAACCAAACAAGCAAAGCCCTTTCCAAATTTGGGTGTTTTGATTCTCGAAAATATTTTCGAGAGGAGGGTCCACATTCATCGTTTCCATTTTTAGCTCCAAAGATCTTCTCTCTTGCCTTTAAAATCGTTGATAAACTATTTTTAGGAATTCCATATTTCTGAGCAATTTGTGTCTTGCTTAATATTTTTTCGTCAACTTCTTTTAAAATCTTCTTCTTTATTTCAACCGCTAAACAAATTCGTTTCTTCATTTGCGACATAGCTCTAAGAATCTTACTTAACAAAAACTGGCCCAATCTCCCTCTCGACTAATGAGACTTCACTGATTGAGTTGTCCAGATCAAATGACTATGACAACAACTCTCTTTTAGAAGCAACCCAAACCCCTTTAACACAAATGGTCTCACCCCCACCCAACAACATCAGGCTGATGCTCTTCTGAGAGCCTCCCACAACAAGCAACACCATAAATTTGTCCTAATTCCCCCTCTTCTCCGCCCCCTCCTTCCTTACTGTACTTCTTCGAATGTTTCGCACTTGCTGCCTCAAAATAGTTGGAGATTTTATTTGACCTTTACACTTCGTCCCAATGAAACACGCAGAAGTATGAAAACTGAGTTCGCAAAAAAGAGATTTTCCTGATTTGTAGTTCGTAAATAAGAGTGCAAAATTACATTACATCTATGGGAGTATATTCGGGACCATCCGCTAGTTCGTCAAATCGAGAGTGTTCGTAAAAACGAACGTCTACTGTATATAAATTTGTATTTATCTGTTCAATATTTAGTTTTAGTTTGATTATAAAAAACTACTTTTATTCAAGTTTTGGTACTTATCAACACTTCCTATACTTTTTTCTTTACATTATAAAGCATATTAAAAATAATCTAAATTTAAATAAATGTATATGTACTTTCGAGTTTTGGAAAGGCAGCTGTGCAATGATTGTCTAGCAATGGTAAAAGGGGTGCATGGGACAAACAAGATTGAGAACCACTGGTATACTTGATGGTTGACATACAACATGGTAAGCTAGTGCATAAAGATATACACAGCTAAGCCAGTGCCCATATTTTAAAACAATTATATTTAGACCTTTTTTGCATCTTTACAGTAATATATTTGATACAAGAAGGAATATGTTAGCAATAGAGAGAAGCAAAGAAGAAATGTGCAGATTATAATTTATAGATAAAGTTAAATATAATGCAGTTATACTTTTATTTTATTCCTAGTGGTAAATTAGGATTTTGGTTTGAAAATTTTAATATTAGTATTTACTACTGGTTTTTAATATTACTACTGGCTGAAGCACTATGTAAGTAATAATGACAGGGATTAATTTTGAAATGGCTGAGTTTCAACAGATTTGTTATAAGCATGTTACTCTTTTTATAACAAAAATAGGAAATAACCAAATTAAGTAGGAGACGTAAAGGGCTATTACAAATACAGTACAAAGTCCGTAATCTGGACTCGTCGAGACTTCGGCGATTCCTGATTAGGGGTTTTTCCAGATTATAGATCATCAATTTAAATCTGGTAAGATGGCATGCAGAAATTATGCAATTAAAAATATGAAACTGTAATTTATGAAATAAAGAGCAATTATGATCAAATCATAATTGATCTTTATTTCATAAATTACAGTTATCAAAATTTACCAAAAAAAAAAGCTTAATATTTATTTATTTACTTTATTAAACATTTCTTTCAATGTAAGTTGTTTAAGTTGCTTCATTTTTTGTGCTAATACTTTCTCTTTAATTTTATAAACAGGCATAATTTTTTGTTCAGTTACAAAGTTCCACTGTTCAAGTCCTGTAATTGCGGTGTCGAGAATACCGACTAACTTGTCAATCGAAATTGTTTCGTTTTCAATAACCTCTCTGTCACTTTCTTCACTATCGAAAGTGTGCATGCATAAGTTTGTGGCTTTGAGGTCCGGATTATAGATCATTCCGGATAATAGATGTCCAGATTACGGACTTTGTACTGTATATGTATTTTGATACTACTCTTATATATACCTTCAGATGTATGGCGTCGCCAAATGTGGCAATATGTGTTCTGTGCTGGTTTTTGGCACTATGTTGTTTGTATGGCAACCCTCTTGACGTTGAAACTTAATTTTGTTGGAGTGGTTTTATTTGCTGGTTGGTTGGTTTGGTGGGCGTTTTGAAATGGCTTATGTTACAATGAAAGACGTGATGGAAAAATTCCAGTCGCGTATTTTGGATTGTGTGCAAAAGATAAAATCGTTTCTTTCAAAATTTTGAATCAGAGAAAGACGTGTGATATATAAAAAATATGGCTCTATTGTTCACAGATGTTGTGTGACTGGGAAAATTTTATTCACGAATGTATGCTGGACTTTGTATGCTCTATGTCTCAGAAGATAGGGGGAAAGGATAAAGTGGTGGAAATTGGTGAATTTTGCTGATGTTTGAAATTGATATTTCTGTTGTTTGAAGAAGCATTCACAATGGAAAGTGCACTTTATTTTATTGTTGTTCTTATTTTGTAGAATGTTATGTTCATTGGAATTTCTGTCTTTTTTTTTTTTTTTTTAATTGTCTGTTACTTATTTTAGTTTATTTTGTTGATTTGTGCGCAATGCCGAAGCTGTGCAATTCACTGACTTTTTTTAAAGTTAAAACAGTGTGTACATGGTATTGTTTGAAATTTATTGTTGTTATGTTAGTTTATTTTAGCGAGGTGTGCATAATTCTTAGATTCCTACGCTGCAGAGATTGTGCAATTCTCTGATGTTTTTTAAGTTAAAACAGATCACTGTGTACATGGATTTTTGTCAAATATTTTTGGTTATTAGCATCTTGAAACTCCGAGGTCACAATCTGAAACTAATTTTCATGAGTTCTTGATAGTTTCAGTTGCAACTTTGAAAGTAACAAATAGGGTTAGCCTATATTTTAAGGGGCCCCTTGGATTATCGCCAAGTTGTTGTTTCTTTATGGTAACCTGAGTAGTTGCATGTTATGGAAACCTTATTATGATGTGATTGGTTGTGGGATTGCTGTGAATGTGACTGATGGGAAAATGTTTGTTGGATGTCAGTTAGAAAATATGTCGCATATTGTGTGTTTTGCATCGTAAAATGGCTGCCGGTGGTAAAGTCGGTTGTTTGGTGGTATTGAACGAGAAAGCAGATGTTCTTTTAAGTGGTTGATGACAGAAGAAAAGAAACTTTGTTGGCTATAATTCAACACAATTAAGTGTCTTGTTTGTATGAAGGAAATGAGTATAGTTGAACTTAAAGATCGTTCAGATGGCTTGGTGTGTCGTAAGAAAGATTCAAATGCTCACCATTTCATTAGAAAGGGAACATGATTTGAAG